CACGACTAGCACATCACCATCACAGTCTTCAGCATCACAGCAACCCGGAGTGATGAGGTCCTGGAGTAGTCTATAAATTTTAGATGTAAGTCCCTTATCAGATATGTCACTGTCAAAATTTTCCCCCCAGTCTGTGGGTTTCCTTCTTACCCTGTTGGAGAAGTTCTTTGATGTGCATAGAGATTTGACTCTTAGAAGGTTCCATTCATCTATTTTATTCTCTCCTGGTTGTAGGTTTTTCATTATGCTGTAGATTAGGGCTTTTAGAGTTAATAGCTTGTCTCTGTGAATTTTTTTTTTCTCTGTGAATTTTATAGTGTTTGGTTTTACTTCTAGGTACCTGATCCACCTTGGGTTGGTTTTTATGTAAGTGTGAAGTGTGGATTTTGCTTAAGTTTTCTGCAGATGGTTTTCCAATTCTGTCAACACCATTTTTAAAGAAACTTTGCTTTCTCCACTTAACTGATTCTGCCTCCTTGTCAAAGACCAGTTGACCATAGGTGGATGAACCGATTTCTGGGTTCTCAATTCTATTCCATTGATATATGTGTCCATTGCTGTAAAAGTACCATTCTGTCTTGCTACCACAGCTGTGTAACAGCATTTTAGATCAGGGAGTGCGTGTTTCTCATTTTCAGTAATGTTTTTGTTATTCAGGGCTCTTTCCATTACTGAAAAAATTGGAAATTGCCTCTTCCATCTTCTTGAAGAATGGCATTGGTATCTGTATTGGAATTACATTGAACTTGTAGACTGCCTTTGGTAGAATTGTCATTTTCATGATATTGAATCTTCCTGTTCATGAGCATGGTATATTCTTCCATTTTTCCAGATCTCTTTTTGTTTCTTATAGTAATGTTTTGTAATTTTCTATCTATAGGTCTTCTGTGTCTCTAGTAAGATTTATTCCCAAGTATATAATCTTGTGGTTAGCTATTTAGTTGGTACTGTTTTTCTTTACTTCCTTCTCTTGTCTTATTGCTCTTGCTAATACTTCCAATACTATATTGAATAGGAGAGGTGATAGTGGGCATCTTTGCCTAGTTCCTGTTCTCAAAGGGAATGCCTTTAATTTCTCTTCATTGAGAATGATGTTGGCACTTGGTTTTGCATATATACTTTTCACTATGTTGAGGAAATTCCCCTCTGTTCCTATTTTGTTCAGGGTTTTAATCAGGAAAGGGTGCTGGATTTTGTCAGAGGCATTTTCTGCATCAATTGATAGGACCACGTGG